AGGGCTCTTGGAAGAAGGCTGGAACCCTGGAACAAAGAAATACTCCACAATGTAACATGGTACTGTGAAGTGGAAAAAGCCCTCATCTGGAAGGCTGCAGACCTGGGATCTGGTCCTGACTCTGCTGTGTGGTATTGGGTAAGATACTGCCATTCAGACTTTGAACTAGATATTTTAGTTCTGTTTTGATAAAGCTATGTCACCCAGGGCAAGTTTCTTCCCCTCTCTAAGCCTCAGATTTCTCATCAGTAAAAATTAGGGGGTTGTGTCTATACTTTAACAATTAGAACTGTCCAAAGAGGTCTTTAAACAAAGGCTATGTGAGTCCTTGTTGGGTATACTATAGAGGGGTAACTTTCAGGTAAAGGTGAGATTATTATTATGCCTCTGGGGCCATTTCTGAATTTAAGATTCTATTTTGAATTGTTGTTTAACATTTGTATTATTATTTGACTTTTCATTTGTTTGCAAGATGTGATTCATTAAATGTTAGGGCTAGAAATTATCATACAGATCGTTTAAGATAATGCTCAGAGAGGGGAAGTGATTTGTCTAAGGGATCTATAGGGAACTTCCAACATGGAAACTCTTTCCACAGATACAGATTGTCAAGTCTTTTGTAACTTACACTTTTAGAGGGGCACTAAGGGGCTTAAATGGCTTACCCAAAGTCATAGAGCTAGAATATGCCAGAGGCAGACCTTAAACTCAAGTCTACAGATGAAATGCTTGTCCTGTATTCACTATGTCACATTACCCTTCATTGTATTATATGATGTTGCATCAACATGTAGAGGTTGAAATCAGCTAAACTGGAGAATTTTCAGCAATCCTGGAGCAGGAGCAGAAAAGTAAGATGACTAGTTATCTAAAGGGGGTGAGGGATTCTAGGGCGGTAGCTAGTGAAACATTAAACATTAATATTGGGAGGCAAACGGGAGTAACAGGCAAAAAAATAAAAATAAAATACTGCACTAGGAGTCAGACGACTTGGGTTCAAAAGCCCTGCTCAAACAGGGGAAATCATTCCACTTTCCTGTGCCTGTTTCCCTATCTGTATCTCAATGACTACTTGCTCATAAAGGTAGATGTAACCAGTTATTTTTCCCCTCCGAAATACACACACTAGGAGAAAAGACTTAGTATGATAGGAGGTAGGGGGAGGAAGAGCACAGAGGATGAAGGAACAACAGGATAGATAGGAAATTGAGAAAGGAGTCCAAATAGAAGACCGTAATAGCTTCAGCACCATCCTCACCCCCTGTTTTCTATACATTGTCTCCCAACTAAGCCACAGGACTTGGAATCAAGAGAGACATAGGCTAGAATTATTATTATTCTAATTAAAGGAGTTAATATACATAATGCACTTAGTAAAAAGGGTTATTTATATGACAGCAATTATCACTGTATGCCTCTGACACTTACCCTCTGAGCCCCAATTTCTTCACTTACACAATGTGATATCACAAGATCATGTCACAAATCTGGAGATGGAAGGGACTTTAGGGATAATCTAATCGATGCCTTGGTCCCCCATTTTACAGACAAGGAAACTGAAGCCCAGAAAGATTATGTGACTTACCAAAGGATAACATAATAAGTGGCAGAGCCAGTATTTTGAGCCCAGGTCATTTACGTTTAAGTGCAGCATCCAAATTTGGCTCTTTTTCCATTGCATCTAATACCACCCACTCTACCTATCTCAGAGGTGTTCATAGGATTATGTGACATTTAAACTATACGCTACGCTGTACTACATAGTTTATACTGCGCTATGTAAACGTGAGTTGCTATTACTAGCAGAGAGGCATCGTGGCATAACGGAGAGGCTGCTGGCCTTGCTTGGCGCCACAAAGACCTGGGGTCAAGTGCTACCTCTGACACACCTTGGCAAGTAAATCACTGAATCTCTTAGCGCTCTAGGCACCTCGGCCTCTAAGTTGCAGAAATGGTAACAATCTCCATTAGTAGCGGGAGTTCCCTCCCATGGGAGTTACCAATAGCAACGGAATCACAGGTCACGTCCCAATCCCAGTTAGTATTGCTGGAGCTGTTATTTAATTACACTCTCCCGTCCCTTTTCGGCTCACCTCACAGTCCCTCCTCCAGACTCCTCTTACTCCTCCTTTCAGAGCCGAGCTCCATCTCTCCCATGGATCTGCCCCACTCCCCGTCTCCCCGAAGCTTCGTTTCCCCGCCAGACTCACCCCTGCCTACACTTGCAGCCGCTCCCAGCTAGCAGGACAAAGCACCCGTGCATCAGAGCCAGGCCTGAGAGCAAATGCTCATGCGCAACAGGGGCCGTCAGCCTACGTTTCCCGAAGGCCTCGGCGGTTAGCCGTGCTTGCGCCCTGCTCTCCATGGGATTCGGTGGGGTAGAAGGGATTGTGGGAAATGGAATTCTCTGCAGAGACTGGCTGAGGAGGACCTTCGAGTGCGCAGGCGCTCTGACTCTAGCCTAGTGGCTAAGCTGAGTGTATAGGAGGAGCAGATATTATCATGTTTCTCCCTCTCAAACCTAGGAGACAGAATCCGGAGATCTCGGAAACAAACAATCTTAAACATAAAAGGAGGTGGGGCTCTCATGCTCCTCTGTTTGACATTTAAGGTTTCTGCCCAGTGTCTGGAGACAGGCTTTTCTGCTGGTCAAAGTATAGCACCAAAAATATTGGAGGGAAAAAGATGGGAGAGAGAAAAGGAGGGGGAAGAAACAAGTATGTATTAAGCACCTACTATGTGCCAGGCACTGTGTTAAGCACTATGCAAATATTTTCTCATTGGATGTACACAACAATCCTGGGATGTAGGTGCTATTATTATCCCCATTTTACAGTTGAGGAAACTGAGGCAAGCAGAGGTTTAGGTGACTTGCTCAGGGTCACACAGAAGTATCTGAGGCTGGATTTAAACTTGTCTTGCTGATTCCAGGTCTAACTATTGGGCCACCAAACTGGCAATGGAGGTTTGTAGCTGACAGATATGTATAATAAAGGCAAGACCTTGGCCTAGGTGGGTGCAAAATAACCTTGTCTCCTTAGATTTTTGTTTTCTTACAATTTTATGTTCAGGCAAAGCCAAAGGGTATCTTGAGAATGTTAGGAGCATTCTGATTTTTGAGTAAGCAGAGTCTGGAAGGGAAAAAAAAAAAGACAATCTTAGCTTTAGGGTACTCTGCCTTCTTCTGTTAGCTGGGTGTGGTGGTTTTGACTAAACAGGATTCAAACCCTAGCACCCTAGGTACTAGTCACTAGATGATAGGAGGCTGGAGCTAAGGTGGCCAATGAAGGGATTAACTCAGAATCTGGAAGAGCAGGGATCAGCAGCCAGCAGAGAGTAGGCATCTGTTGCCAGTGGCTACCAGGACACCTGCAGAGCAACTCCTGTCAGGATACTAGTGGAGCAATGCTGAAAGTGCCACAGACATCACTGAGCAAACTCCATGAGACCAAAGCCATGATATCACATCTGTGACACTGTATCATCAAAGGCATGGGTTGTCCTTTTATGTGTGTGCCCTGGTCGTGTTATTGTTGAGTGATTTCAGTGGTATCCGACTCTTTGTGACCCCATCTGGGGTATTCTTGGCAAAGATGCTGGAGTGGTTTGCCATTTCCTTCTCCGGGTCACTTTGCAGATGAGGAAACTGAGGCAAACAGGGGTAAGTAACTTGCCCAGGGTTACACAGACAGTAAATGTATGAGGCCGGATTTGAACTCAAGAAGATGAGTCTTCCTAATTTCAGGCTCAGTACTCCATCCACTATGCCACCTAGCTGCCCTGGTCATACATGTTCCTTATGTACATACCCCTTCTGTATGATCCCTATGCATGACCACCTTCCCCACCAATGGAGTATATATTTGTGGGAGAGTATGACCTAGGTTTATGAGAGGAATGTTCTGAATTGTTTTTTTTCCTTGCAATACTATTTCATGAAATGCCTTTGCTTTGAAGTACTTAATGTTCTCTGGCCGGCTAGTGATAAAGGCAATACATCAGTGAGGACTTGAATTATAGTTTATAGTGAATTTGGACCTAGAAAGTACCTTGAGCTTGGACTGGTAATTCTGAGGGCCCATGTAAGAGGGACATTTTCAGGTTTTTTGCATTTTTTCCCCCTTCCTATCCTCTACATTCCAGCTAAACTTGTCTACTTGCTCTCCCCTATGTCTGCAAGTTATCCATCCTCAGCTTAATGTTTTAGGATCCCTAACTTCCTCAAAGCTCAGCTCAAAGCATGCCTAACGTAAAAAGCCTATGCTGAGTCCCCAGTTACTAGCACCTCTATCTCAATTATTGCAGGCTGTGGACATAGTCATATAGACCCTTAGCAGTGACTACCCACAGGGCTATGTACATGCAGGGCTGCACTGACTCTAATGTCCACATCTTCATAACAAACCCACTACCTTGCTTCACCCTAGTCCTCTTTCCTAACTATGCTGAAAGTGAGGAAAGTTCTGTGTCCCTGAGAAGCCCTGAGCTAAGACCTGCCCCATCTCTCATTTAAAGCTATTTCCTAGCTGGAATTCACTGCTTTACCACCTTGAAATCCCTACCTCCTTTCAAGCCTCAATTGAAGTGCCATCTGCTTTAAGAGCCCTTCCCCCAATAATTAGTGCTCCTTCCTTCCATTCCATTACTTTGTATATTCTCATTTGTTGTACGTGTTGTTTTTCCCTAGCAGAACCTAAGTTCCTAGAGAGCAGGAGCTGTTTTGCTTTGACTTAATACATACTGCCTAGCGAAAGAATTGAATTGACACAGTTGCAGATGTTTGGAAAGGAAAGCCGCGAAGGCCTCTGGGATATAGTTAGGGGCCGGACTCTAAGGCAGTCCCGTAATGTCCCGTAATGTCGCAAGAGGAGGTTTGTTCCGGGCTGGGCATGCCGTAAGCGCTCAAGTAATTAATCAAACTCAATTGCTTGAGTCATTAAGAGCGCGCTTGCCCACAGTAACCTCTGGACTCCATTTCCCAGAACACTCTGAGACAGCTCCTGCTCACATCACCAGTACCAATCTTCATTTTCTAGATGCCCTCCATAAATATATGCACACTTAAATTGTCTTCGAGCGCGATGAATTCTGGGAATCGTAGTTCAGCGGCATAGTCTGCACAGGCGCAGTAGTCCGTGGATCCAGAGCTCGGCTCTTTGTTCTTCTGGCGACTGGAAGGTGAGTCTTGTCCCTGGTCCTGGCTCCTCTTGCTTGCTTGGTTCGTAGCGTCCATCCCAGGAGTTACCGGCCTGGAGACAGACATGGCCCGGGAAGATTTTGGATGAGGGGGTTCTTCAGGGATGTGTGGGTGTGGAGGGGGATTCCCGGGGGGGGGCGAGGGAAGGGGGGTAAATCAGAGTAGGTCTGACGTCAGCCCTCCTGCTGTGAAGGGACTTCGGAGAAGGGCGGGGCCTACGGGGCTGGGAGGGCCTGACGTCAGAGGCCAGGCTGGTCCTGGGAAGGGATGCTGGCCCCTGGGCTTCACCTGGCTGCCTGTACCTTCCTGAACAGGCTTTGGGAGGAGCTGCTTCAGCCTCTGGGGCTGAGTGTAAGCGTCCTGTGCTCATGTGCCTCTGTATATTTGACTATCATTTATCTGGAGTCCTGGGTTCGGTTCTAGGTGCCATATTTTAGGAAGGGCGTTGATAAACTGGAGTAGGTCCAGAGAAGGGTAACCAGGATGGGGATGGAGATCATGGTATTGGACGAGCAGTTTATGGGACTGGGAATGTTTAGCCTTGAGAAGAAAAGATGGAGGGAAATAGGATAGCTGGCTTTAAGTATTTAAAAGGGTTGGCATTCAAAGCCCTTCCTAACTTAGCGTCGCCTCCCCTCTCCTTTTCAGTCTTCTCACACTTACACCCCACCCGATTTTCGGTCCAGTGACACTGCCCTCCTTGCTGTTCCTCCAACAAGACACTCCATCGCTTGACTCCAGGCATTTTCACCGGCTGTGCCTGGAGCCCTCTCTTTGCTCATGTCCTTCTCTTAGCTTCCCTTTGTTCAAGTCCCACCTAAAATCTCCCCTTCTACGGGAAACCTTTCCTGATCCTTCTTAATACTGATAACTTCCTTCTATTGATTATCTCCTATTTATCTGTAAATAGCTTGTTTGTACATCGTTGTATGCATAATTTATCTCTTCCATTAGAAGGCAGGAACTGTCTTTTCCCTCTCTTATCCACAGGGCTTGTAACTCAGTAGGCACTTAATAAATACTTATTGACTCACTGACTATGGACCAAAGCCTCTTAGGATCCTTAAGTTGCCTTCAAAACAGCTCAAATGACATCTACATAAGACCTTGACAGATGTCCACAGATGCTAATAGCCACTCTCTATTATTTTGTATTTGTGTTACATATATTTTATATTTATTTACATGTAAACATATTATTTCCTAAGCCCTGTGCTTATCAGTCAACCTACAAGCATTTTTAAAGTGTTTACTATGTGCCAGTAACTGTGCTTGGCATGGGGGTTACAGAGGAAGGCGAGAGACAATCTCTGCCCTCAAGGAGCTCACAGTCTAATAGAAGGGACAATATATAAACAACAATGTGCAAGGATAAATACTGGATAAACTGGAGATATTCAATCAATAAACATTTATTAAATGCCTTCTCTATATCAGACACTGTGCTAAACATTGGGGATATAAAAAGAGAAAAAAGACAGTCCCTGCCCCCAAGGAGCTTACAATTCAGTCGGGGAGACAACATGCAAACAAATATGCAAAGCAAGAGGTATACAGGATAAATAGGAAATAATTAACAGAGGGAAGGTGGTCAGATTAAGAGGGGTTGGGGAAGGCTTGCAGAGCAGAAAATGGGGAGAGTTCTAGGTATGGAGGGATAGTTGGGAAAAATACTGGAGATGGAATGCCTTCTAGGAACAACTAGGAGACTCAAGTGACTGGTTGGAATATCTTGTAGGGTATAAGTTGTAAGAAGACTGAAAAGGGAAGGGGTGGCAAGATTGTGAAGGGCTTTGGATGCCAAATAGAGCATTATCATAGGGGGAAGGTACTAGCAGTGAGGAAGCTCAGGAAAGACTTCTTTTAGAAGGTGGGCTTTTTTCTGAGACATGAAAGAAGTCAGAGAAACCAGGAGGCAGAGAGAAGGAGGAAAAAAAATGCCTGGAGTTGCAAGATAGAGTTCCTCCTTATGTGCAGGACAGCAAGGAGGCCATTGTCACTGGATCGAAGAATACATGGGATGTGAGAGAGGAGGGGAAGGAAGGTTTAAGAAGACTGGAAAGGTCTGAAAAGGGACTAGGTAACCAAGTGCTTTAGAAGCCAAACAGAAGATTTGATACTGGAGGTAATAGGAGGCCACTGAGTGTATTGAATATAGGGGTGAGATGGTCAGACTTGTTGCTTTAGGAAGATCAGTTTGACAGCTGAGTGGAAGCCGGACTGAAGTAGGGAGAGACTTAAGGCAGGGAGACCAACAGGCTATTTCAGTAATCCAGGTGGGAGGTGATAAGGGCCTGTAGTGGAGACGCAACAGTGTTAGAGGAGAGGAAATACTGAGAAATATTATAAAGGTGGAAACAACAAGACTTGGCAACAAATCATATACGAAAGGGAAGAGTTGAGAGTGGTGCCTAAGTTATGAGTTCACTCCTAGATGTTTTATACATTTTGTAGTAGTTGTGAATGGAATATCTCTTATTGTTGTCTCCTAAGCCTAGAACATAAGTACTTAACAAATGCTTGCCTGCTCATTCTTTCTATCTATCTATCTATCTATCTATCTATCTATCTATCTATCTATCTGTCCTTCCATCCTGGTTATTCTCAGAACTTTATAAAAATATTGATGATTTTTGTAGATTTATTTTGTATTTCTACTACTTTACTCAAGCCATTAACTGTCGATAAGTTTCTTTTCTTCTTCTCTGCAGTTTCCTAAGTAAACCATTATGTGATCAGTATATAAGGATAATCTTGTATATATTTTGTGTTTATATGTATTAATAATAATAATAGCTAACATTTATAGAATGCTTACTATGTGCCAGGTACTGTGCTAAGTGCTTTACAATTATTATCTCATTTGATCCTCACAACAACCCAGGGAGGTAGGTGCTATTATTATACCCACTTTACAGATGAAGAAACTGAGGCAAAAAGAGGTAAAGTGACTTGCCTAGGCTGACACAGCACACAAATAGTAAGTGTCTGAATCAGATTTAAACTTGGGTCTTTCTGATTCTAAGCCTACAGCTCTGCTCATAGCACCGCTTAACCACTCCATTTACACATTGTTTCTTTGATAGAATGTATGCTTCTAGAGGGCAGGAACTGTTTTGTTTTGGTCTTTGTATCTCCAGCACCTAGCACACCATCTTTCAGATAGTAAGTGTTTGATAAATGTCTGTTGATTGACTAAGGATTAGATGTGTTCTGCATGGACTCAGGGAGCAGAACTCATAGGGGGCAATTTCAGTTTCATGTAAGAGGAAAAAACCAAAACATTTTCTAATAATTAGAGTTGTCCAAAAATGAAAAGGGGTGCCTCGGCTGATTGTGGGCTCCCCTTCCTCAGAGTTTTTCAAATAAACCTAGATTGCCTCTTAGGACCATCGATCTGAAACTTGAAAAGCCCTCATTTTATCCAAACCCTTCATTTTACAGATGAGGAAATTGAGGTCCAGAGAAGTTAAATGACTTAACCAGTGTCACAGGTGCATGTCAGAGGCAGGATTTAAACCCAGGTCCCCTGACTCTAGAATCAGTGCTCCTTCCCTTGTACCATCCGGAATCTTCTTCATGTGTGGATTAGATGATGGTCACTGAGGCCTCTTCCAATTCTGAGAACCCAAACTCAATTTGTGCTGTTCAGCCATAGCGCCATATTGTAGGTCAAGGTCTTCAACCTGTTAAAGGAAGATAGGAACTAGACTTGTGATTTCATTGGTATAGGGAACTCCCAGGTGAAGAAACTCCACCTTACAATGCAGATTGGCACCTTCTCTGCAATTTATAGTGAGTACTTAGTGAGTACCCTTTGTGAGTACTGAGAGGTCAAATGACTTGCCCATAGTCACATAGTCTGGCAAGACTTACATCTAAGTCTTGAACTTGAAGGTCTCTTTGGCTTTGAGGCTAGCTCTCTATCCACTGTGCCATTCTGTTTCTGTTAAAAGAGATGATTTATTTATAGAATCATAGGATTGTAATTCTAAGATGTGAGGTCATCTAGGCCAAACTCCTCATTTTACAGATAAGGAAACTGAGGCCCAGAAGATTTAAGTGACTTCCCCAGGCTCATGCAGATTGTAAACAGCAGAGCTGGCACTCAACCAGAGGATCTCAGACTCCCATTCCCCAGTACTGTTTCTACCACATCACACAGTTATTTGTAATGTTCTTTGAACATAACTTTGTTAGAAGTTTTCCTATAGCTTTTTGTTTTTACAGCACAACATCAGTCATTTCTGTATATAGGTTCTTCCTTTTTCCCTCCTATATCACCTTCTCCCTGTCAAAAGAAAAAAGTTAAGCAAAATAACCTCTCCTGAGATCTATCTAGCTGTCGTGGTTCCCTTGCTGTCTGCTATCAGCAGGGAGGTGTCTTATCTGATCTCTGGGACCGAGACTGGTTTTTTAGCTATTCAGAGACTGACTTCCTTCTAGTGCTGCATTTATTTATATTGTTGTAAACATTATGTATGTCATTCTCCTGGTTCTGCTTATTTAACTGTGCATCATTTCATAGAAACCTTCCCATGTTTGTCTGAATTTTCATATTCATAAGAACCTACCGGTAGAGCTGGAAGAGATCTGAGAGTATCTTGTAGGTGCCTAGCTATGTATCCCAGCCCTCCCATTTTATAGATGAGGAGCCTGAGGCCTGTGGATGTTAAGTGACTTGCCGAAGGCCTCACTGATACCAAGCATATATCAGAGACAGAATTTGAACCCAGGGCCTCTGAATCTAGGGCCAGTACTATTTATTCATTATTCTCGCAACAATATTCTGTTATATTCCTATAACACAGTGTGTTCACCCGTTCTCCAGTCAATAGACATCCACTATATTTCCAGTTCTTTACTTCCACAAAACTGATATACATTGAAGCTTTCTGTTGTTTTTAAAATAGATGTTTATCGATATCATTTGTTTTTAAATCACCTAGAGTTCCCCCTGCATCTCTTCTTTTTCCTCTCC